TGCCCTGGGGTTGGATTTATAAAGGATTGCGTGGAAACCATTCTAAAAGTGAACGTATGGCCAAAAGGCAAAAATGGAGTACGCCAAAAAATAAAAAAATTAAAAATTCAGATTTATAAAACCGTGCGTACACATGTTTCTGCGCACCTTTCCTTTATAAATCACAGCTGCACCTCAGAGTTTGCGCACAAGGTCCCGCCTCGGGTTCTACTGTCTACACGCCCACATTCATCCATAAACAGTCAATGCAAAGTACCTCATGAATGTTAAGGTCTATTCAAATCAGTCAGCTGATCAATGTAAAAAAAAAAACAAACAAAAAAAAAAACGATTGGCCGGTTCAGACACGCGCTCCGTCGCGCGTCTGGAGGGTGACTGACACCTGCTCACGTGAACAGGTAGTCTGTATTTGACACAGATTATCCCTCATTTTGCAGGTTTACAGACGTTTATCATAATCCAACGATTTTTATCAAAAACTCAGCTTCAAATTAATTTTCTCTCAGAGCCTGCAGGACGATAAAAACAATAAATTAAATAAGTCAGATAAAGTTAGAAATAAGTTCTCCCCCATTCTCCCCCTCCTGCCTGTTCTTTTATCTGCAGCTGACCGTCTCCTCATCCCCACACATCCCCACAGCCCCGCGCGTGCATGAGAGAAATACGGACTTTAAAAATTGAACTTTTTATAACATCCACACTGGCGAGGGAACATCCTGCGAGTACCCAAAGCATGACTTTTGTTGTCGTGCTGTTGAAATGTCTCTTGTCGGGGAGGGGTCTGTGTGGGTCAGGGTCATCTGAGGAGGAAGGAGATGGATGGATGCGTGAACTTTTATTTAAGATTTAAGTTATTTCAAAGGTCCTCATGGCTCAGCAGCAGAAGCATAAATATTAAAGCTGATGATAAAGTTGAATAAAAATCTAAGTCTGATTCTGAAGGTAAATTAAATATCTGACAGTGATCATTACACAGTGTGGCTCTAATTCCTCACTTCACCATGTTGCAGTTTCCCATCTCCAAAATGAGCGTACACATGGGTCAAAACTGGCGTGAGACACCGCACATTTTCACGTCAAGTTTGGATTTTATAAATCACAACCTTTGCGTGAAAAGTGGCGTATGCAAATTTCTGGGCTCGTTTTGTGCGTACGCAAGCTTTATAAATCAGACCACTGGTACTTAAAATCGGTACCAGTATTGATGCACAGCTGCTGGTATCAATAGAATACGTTACAGTTTACATTTCAAGTTGAAACTTTTATAGTTCCATGTTTAAGAAAGTTATACAAGTTAAAAGAAAAAGATTTTTATTTATTTAAAACAATTCAACTGTCTTCATGTATTTTTGATTTGATCCAATCAGAGTTTGACAGTAGCATTCAGTGAATTACATTTAGCTCAGTATCTGTAAAATTAAGAGTTTTATCATTTTCTGTTGTTTTCTAAAGTCAGTTATTGTGAATTGGGTTGACTCCAAAAGTTAATCAGTTGTAGAATATTCATTAAATGATGATTATCAGGAAGTTTAATTAAATTCTCCCAAGTGATTCGTGAGTTATTTTGCTAACAGACAAACAACATACACTGTAAATGAAAAAAATAGCACTTAAGACATGGGCTGCATTAACCTTATTCAGTTATATACATTATAAAGACTTGATATAATATTTATTTATTTATTTGTTTATTTGTTTATTTGTTTTTTAATCAAAAATGACATGAAAATCTCAAACTCTATGTCTTTACCCCCCTGTCCTTCTTGGATTGATGACGTATTCTGGTTCTGATCGTAGGATATGTGGCGACACGGCTCTGGACAAGAATATCCATGAATCGGTCAGCGCCCAAATCAAGAAGAACTTTGCCAAAAGTAAATGGAAGGTCAGTCAGCAGCCTGCTCAGCAGTCAGTTTGGAGGAGTTTCAGAACATGCTGTTCGTTTCTGCTGTTCTTCTCCCGGCTTCGCTCTCAGACACCAGCAACATTTGGCTTCAATTCATTTCTTTGAGCGTCCTTTTACTGGGCAAGAAAGCATCCTTTAAACAGAAATAAAAAGAAACTAGCTTTTAAAAAAAATTGTTTTGATTCCAACTTACCTGTTGCACCGCAGTGAGCCTGTGTGGGTGTTGGTGTCATAAATAATTTAATGTAGCTCCTTGGGGGCCAAACCATCTGTGAGATTTTTGTTTTGGTTTTGTTTATTTGGGTTTGTTTTTTGTTTTGTTTTTTTTGTTTTGTTTTTTTGCACTGCATTTTTTAATACTCTTTTTAAATACTTAATTTTGTTAATAGTTTATCTGGATTTCAAACTGAAACTGAAGAGAGAGATTTGTAGTTTCTTGAGGAAAAGTGACCTGAATGACACTGTGATGGTTTTGTTTTGTTTTAAGTTAGAGCTTTTTGCTGACCATCTAATTGTAGGTTTTAGTCAGTGTTGTTGCAAACTGCCTCCAAAGCGTTTTTCTGTGCATCTAGATCACTTATAGCAAACAACAAAGGTATTTAATTTGCTTCAAAGGAATAATTATAAGGCAGATTTTGACACCATTTTTGTGTTTCACAATGAGAGATTGAAAACCTTTACAGATGGAGGTTCCTATTTTTCATTTCTCCTCCTCTCGTCTGTGCTCCAGCAAGCGTTTAATGCCACAGCCGTGGTGCGACACATGCGGAGGTTGCAGCTGGGCACCAGCCTCGAGGGACCCAGTCAGATTACTCCCACCAGTCCCTGCCATGGACATCTGCTCCCCGAGGAGGTGGAGGAAGAGGAGGACGAGCTGGGGAACGAGGAGGAGAAGAGCCGTGAGTTAGATGTTCACAGTCAGTGTCCGTCTATACCAGGGGTGTCCAAAGCTGGTCCTTGAGGACCAATATCTGGCATGTTTTTTTTTTTTTTTTGTGGTTTCCCTGCTACAATACACCTGATTTGAATAAACATTTACCAGACTTCTGCAAAACTTGAAGAGGTAATTCAGCCGTTGAATCACAAGTTTTSGAGCAAAGAAATGAGTAAAGCATGCAGGATTGTAAATTCACTGTAAATATTCTCAATCATTGCCACTAGTGTGTAAAACACATGCACAATCCTAAACCAAGCAGAGCTCCCAAAATACACATAGGACAAAAATTAAACTCATCACGGTTCATTAAGTTTGCATGCTACCTTTAATTCAGTGCTGATAGTCCTTCCTGGTAATTCAGGACATTTGCCTGAACAGAATAAAGATGGGAGGTCAACATTTGTTCAGCAACAGRCTGTGAGTTCTGCTCTGAGAGGACGCCGTCATTTAAAAGCTGATGATTCTATCAGTGCCTCAGGTGATGGTGGGGACGTACAGATAGGAACACATTTTAATATATAGACAAAATATTTCCACCTGAGTGCAGCAACATTAGCAGAGAGGACCCAGGGTGCAGACAAAAAGGCAGATGAACTGAGCGAAACAATAATTTTTATAAAGTAAATCAACCAACACAGGCGGAAATTTAAAATTTAGCAAAGAGCTATAGATTAAACTGTCTGGTTTCACTTTATGGCTGAGGTGTTGCAGGAAGATGCAAAGAGCTGATCTGATGTGCAGATGCAGGGAGGAGCTAAAAGCAGGAATGACAGAGGAAGAAAAGTCACAGAAAATATATTTAACACAAAGAATATCTAAATGAAACGAAGAACACGGCCAAGTAACAAAAAACATGATTAAAGACTAAAAATTTCACAAGAATACAGCTGACTGATTGACGACATTAGCTGAAGAAACTGAGTTATTCAGTTTAAAACAAGAAGAAACTAGCTAAAAAGAAGGGAAACTCGTATAAGAAAAGGGGTATCTGAAATYAGCTAAAAGCTAATAGTGTCAAACCACTAGCTAAAATTAACACATGTCAACTAAAAGTGACAAATAGTAGAAGGCTAGTTAAAAGCTAAAAGTAGCAAAAAGTTTATTTAAAAGTATGGAAAGGCTAGCTAAAATAATTAAAATTACCAAATGTCTGACTGAAAATATGAAAAAGTTAGCTAAAAATAGTAGCAAACATCTAATTAAAAGTAGCACAATAGTAAGTTAAAAGGAGTAAAAGTGGCAAAAGTTTAGCTAAAAGCTAAAAACAACATGAAGTCATGAAAACTTGTATGAATGCTGCGTCACAGTTCATAAAACAGTGGGWTCATGAGCGCTGAAGGTAAAACATGAGGTAAAAAATCCACGCTCATCAGGCAGAACTCATTTTACTAATTGTTGAGAAAACAGGTCAACAAAACTGGGTTAAACACGTCTACAAGTTAAAGTTTTAGGAAGTGTGCCTTTATGCATTTACTATAATTATGACAAGAACTGGACTGAAATCTCACTCTCTGACATCCAGTGTCCCCTTACGATGACGGTCGTCGTGGAAGCAACGAGGGCAGCGTCGACCGGGACAGCCTGAGAAGCTGCGCTTACTGCTGCCGGCCAACCAGTCGCATCTGAGTCCATCCCTGGAGCATCCCAGAGCCCATCCACCCAGTCTGGCCAAGAATGCAGAGTAGATATTAGGTAGTTTCCTCCAAAGCATGTCCCCAGCTTTCAGGTCCCTTCTAACAGAGTGGACAACACATGCTGCAAGTAAAAAAAAAAAAAGACAAGTTTTAATGTCGCAGAGACGGTATACAAATCTGCTTCAAGCATGCAGAAGGTCTAACTGTTTGATTGCCCTCAAGAAATCCTCTGCTGCTGAAGCATTCAGTCATAGAAGAAGAAAGTGTGGCCTTTTGGCAGTGTTTACATTACAAGCGGATCAGGATGTTTCCTTCAGAAGGATTTTACAATCAAAGATCAGGCATCAAAGCTACGTCCTCCATTAGAATTATCATCCCCATTATGTGTCACCTCTACCTCTAATCACAACTGTTGTGCGTTTACATCCACCTGAACTACACACGCTACATTACTGTCAATTTTCTCTGAAACATCTGACCAGAAAGGGCACAAAGAAAATTGCTATTTCAAAGGAAATCTACTCCTGCACGTTGCTTTACTCTTTACGTGGTAATGCAGCTGCACTCGCTAATCAAGAAAATGGAAAATGGCTTTCAACAGTGTGCATTTTTTTCAACTTATTTAGCAACTCAAGAAAAAAGTTATTTTAAAGGGATAGATTGGATCTTTTGAAATGGAGTTCTGTGGAAAGCTTGTTTATAGATGGATATTTGAGTGACTTTAGTTTGGTTACATAGAGTTTAACGCTGATCGAATCGACAAGCTAACAGATAATCTGAACAGGGCTACGAGTCGACCGAGGAAGACTGCTACGATTTTACCTTAAAATGTTTTTTACAAGTCTTAAATTCACATTACATTATTTTTACACAGAATTTGATCGTTATGCACAAGTGTAAAAGCTAACCGCTAGCATTTCCTCTGCATCCTGGGGCAGTTTTTATTAAAGATGATTCTGTGTAAATAACAGTGTCATGTGAAACTGAGGGTTGTATAAAGGTTTTATAGGGCACGTTTGCACGAGCCACTATGAAATTTGTGAGATTAATGATATTTCAAGATGGCATCTCCACTTGAACTAGYTCAAAAATAAACTGTTCTTCAAGCAAAGGCTTGTCAAAGAGCTATCTATGACAGGTAAGATATTTCCACAAAACCCTACCGTGAACTATTTGAACTGCCCCTCAAAGACTATTCATAAATCAACTCAAGACCATTTCAGACCAATTGTGTTTCATTTTGTTCCAATTATTTTTAGTTTAAGTCTACTTCAGTCAAATTATAATTTACTTTACTGCTTTTTAGTTGTGTGTAATCTTTGKGCTGAATACAAGATCAAAAGTTTAAAAGGTGATAAGGTTATAAAATGTATATGAAATTAAGTAATTTTGATGACTTTCTTATGTTTGGGATTAAAAACACTGAGAGATTGAGACATAATTTGAAAACAACCCATTTTTTCTGTTCAGCTATAAGTGTTAGAAGTATTTACCTACTTTTGTTGAAAAAATAATAATAATTTAAAGATGAATCTGGAGTTTTAGATTCTATATTCTGGCTCAGACTGGGTTTGTGATGGCTGGTTTGGACCTGAAGTGTCTGCATGCTTCCTGTCAGGGAAAACACACACACACACACACACACACACAC